CGTTGTTAAGTGTTTTATTTTGAAATAATTTCAAACTTACGAAAGAGGTGCAAAAACAGTACAAAGAAACCTCTTACAATGTTAATGTCAACATCAACATTAATATTAATGTTATCTTGATTGCTCTCTATTTATATTTTGAAAGGAATGTTTGAAAGTTGCAGAAATGCTGCACCTTTACCCATAAACACATCACTGTAATATTCCTAAGAATAGGGACATTTTTCTTTTATAACCACAGTACTATGACAGAATCAGGAAATTAACAATTTTGCCAAGTGTTCCTATAACGACCTTTAGAGCAAAAGGATTTTCTGGTTCAAGAGCCAACCGGATCACCCGTTGGATGTGTGGCGGTGGCACGTGTATTCGGTCATAGTTCCTTAGCTGTTCTTCGTCTTTGATGATCCTGATGTTATCTTGTTGAATGTCCCTCCGTTTGATTCAGGTTATTCATTTTCGGCAGGAAAAAGCATGGGATTTTGTAATTACAAGCATGTAATCATTTTATACTTAAAAAAGTTTTCATTTATAACAAAAAGATGAGGACTGGTCACAGGAGACTGAGTTGCAGCCAGAGATGAGAGCACACCCAGGAGCACGTGGCACTGTGGAGGGCAAAGGGGAGTCTGGAGGAGGTCAAGGGGCAAGCAAGCTGGACCACTAGGCTTCTGGGAGGTGGCCGGGGACTGTGGCATAGAGACTGGAGATGAAGTGAGGCTGCAGGAGGCTATGAAAGGCAGTGTGGGGCGCTGGTAAAGCCCCTGGACTCTGCAGCCAGATTTGAACTCGAGTTATGCTGCATGTCAACTGTGTCGTCCTTTTAACTTCTCTGTGGCTCGGTTTTCTCAACTGTGGAATGAAGACAATAGTAGTCTCTCCCTCAAGGCATTGTTGTGAGGATTGGCTCAATATGGATAAAATCCTAAGGCAAGCATTAATGTATTATTGTCACGAAGAAAAGGTTATGGGTGAGTTTTGCCTAGGATGTATAAAGCAGAGAGTTGGGGGTGGAGGGTCAGGTCTTCTTAAAGCATACCTATAGAGCAGAGGGATGAAGGGCATTCTGGCAAAGGGACCACCTGACCCAGGGAGGTTGGTGTTGGGGGTAATGCTGGGGTGGGGGTGGGGCGTCACAGCAGAAGAGGGAGGCTGGGGAAAGGAAAACGGACCTTTCCGGAAGGCTCGGCTGGAGAGATGTCAGGACCTACTTCTTGTCACGGGCCGCCCCGCCCCTCTCAGCCCTCCCCTCCTCTCTATTCCTCCAATCTTTCCTCTAAGCCACCCCAGGATCCGGGGGACTTGCCTGCTAAGCCTTATCCCCCTCCCCAGGCACCTGGCGCCCCCGCAGATCGGTTGTGTTTGCGAGCTGGGGGGCAGAGGAGTTTGGGCTCATTGGCTCCACAGAATTCACAGAGGTGAGTGAGCCCCACAGGGTAGGCGGGAGAGGGGATCCCCGGGGCGGGGCAGCGCCAGGCTGACGTCGCCCCTCCCACCACAGGAGTTCTTCAGCAAGTTGCAGGAGCGCACCGTGGCCTATATCAACGTGGACATCTCAGTCTTTGGTATGGCGGGGGGCGGGGCGGGGAGGCGCGGGGTGGGGAGAGCAACTGGTCTGACTGGGGAGGAGAGAAATGAAGGGGCTAGGCCCGGGATAGAGTCTTTTCTGATCCTCCCACAGCCAACGCCACCCTGAGGGTGCAGGGGACGCCCCCAGTCCAGAGTGTCGTCTTCTCCGCAGCTAAGCAGGTGGAGGGGAGCGGGGCGGGCGTGGACCCGTTTGCTGTTGGGTCTGAGGAGGGCAAGCCCCGAGACTAGATTCCCCTTCCGGCAGATCCCCGCACCAGACCCCAGCAGACTCAGCATCTACGACAACTGGATCCGGTATTTCAACCGTAGCAGTCCCGTGTACGGCCTGGTCCCCAGGTGAGCCAGGGGCCAGGGCTGGGACCTGAGTGGGCAAGTCGGAGGGCCCGATAGCCTCTAGACCCACCATCTTCCTTCCCACAGGCTGGGCTCTCTGGGTGCTGGCAGCGACTATGCACCCTTCATTCACTTCCTGGGCATCTCCTCCATGGACATCGCCTACACCTATGACCAGGTGAGCGGGCACCCATCCGTCCTCCAGGTGGGTACCTTGCTCCACCAGCCTGCCCACTCCTCTACTGCAGGATGCTCTAGTGCAGCCTGAATTGGACACCTTCACTCACTGGCTGAGCTACCTCTGCCAAATTTCTTAACCTCTCTGAGAATCTATCTATGCTCATCTATGTTATTTTATCAAGTTTAAGATACTACTGATTGTAAGACGCACCATTCTGATGAGCACTATTCAGGAGGGGAAAACACTGCCAATTAGTTGTAGGATGATATTGACTTTAAGAAGCATCCCAATTTCAGAGATTTTTAAATGTGAAAAAAATATTGACCGCAAGATGGTTTAAGTAACAGTATAAAACAAGGATGATTCAAAGATTTGGTGTGAGAGAAATAAGGGGTGCAGAGCGTCCTGCCTGTCTTCCTTCGATGCTCCAAAATGCCCTCTCTCCCCTTCATGGCCACAAATCTCCTGGATGATAGAGCTGGGATTTCAATCTTCTAGTCTGACTCCAAAGCCCCAGGCTCTTCTCCTTCATGTGAAATGGAAAAGTGGCTGCTGACCCAGCTCTATTGCTTATTAGCTACGTGATGTCAGGCAGGTTACTTAACCATTTGAGCCTGTTTCCTTCTCTGTAAAGTTAGAACCTACCACATGGATGTGGCAATGATTTGAGATAATGTCCCTACACTGTAGCTCACTATAGGTACACTTCCTTCCACTTCGCGACCCAAGCCTGTCACTTCTGGGCCTTGTTCCCCCAGAGTAAGACCTCAGCCCGGATCTACCCCACCTACCACACAGCCTTCGACACCTTTAGTTACGTGGACAAGTTTGTGGACCCAGGTGAGGAGAGGGGGAAGGGGTATCTTGAGGCTGGAGGAGGATGGGCTGAAGACTGAGCCCTGGCCTTGTCACCTTCCCTGCAGGCTTCGGCAGCCACCTGGCCGTAGCCCAGACAGCAGGGAATGTGCTTCTCCGGCTCAGTGACAGCCTCTTCCTGCCTCTGAACGTCAGTGACTACAGTGAGACCCTCCGAAGCTTCCTGCAGGCTGCCCAGCAAGACCTTGGGGCCCTGCTGGAGCAGCACAGCATCAGCCTGGGTACGGACCCACCCTGACGTTGAGGCATGGGGAGCCCTGCACTCACAGGCCTAAGATACCGGCTGTACCTTGCAGGGCCTCTGGTGACTGCAGTGGAGAAGTTTGAGGAGGCATCCATAGCCTTAGGCCAAAACATATCAGCACTGCAGAAGGCCAACCCCAAGTGAGCAAGGGCAGCGAGCAGGGGCCTGGGAGGGTGGCATTCAGGGTAAGATGCAGGCTGGTAGCTGGGCTGCCTGCTCCAGAGTAACCAGCAGATCCTGCCACTCCAGCCCCCTGCAGGTTCGGATGCTCAATGACCAGCTGATGCTCTTGGAACGAACCTTCCTGAACCCTCGAGCCTTCCCAGAGGAACTCTACTACAGGTGATCCTGTCCCAAAGCTCTTGGGAGGTTCTGTGGGGTGAGGTTGGGTAATGGGCATCCACCTAAGGAAGGTGAACATCAGCATTTCAGTGGCCTTTAGGAGAATCAGGCTCAAAGGAGAGGAGAAATCAGTCCAGGTCACCCTGGGACTAGAAGCTACATCTTCTGCTACCACCACTGCTGTAGGGGCACCAGCTGTCAGAGGCAGTGGGGAGGTGCCTTAGTTCCTAGCTGCATACAGGAGCTGAGCTCATAGCAGGCTGAAGCTTCCCTCGTTCCTGGCCCCTAAATGACCCTGATTCTCCGATTTCTCTGTTAGCCATGTGCTCTGGGCACCCCGCACTGGCTCTGTAGCCACGTTCCCGGGCCTAGCCAATGCCTGCTCCAGAGCCATGAACACAAGCCTCGGATCTGCAGCCTGGGCCGAGGTGCAGAGGCAGCTCAGTATTGTGGTGGCAGCACTGGAGGGTGCAGCAGCCACCCTGAGGCCTGTGGATGACCTCTGACTCCAGCCCTACACTACCACCCTTCATCTAACCCTCTCCCACTTGTTCTCCTTGGCTGTGTCTCAGTCTTCCCTGATGCCAGAAGGCACAACCACGGGACCCTCTCAAGCTTCTGAGGCAACTGCTCAGGGTCCCACCAGTTGTGGACGCCTGAAAGGAGTGACAAGCACTAGATGAAAAGCTCCCTTATCCTGTCTCTTGGCTGGCAGAGGGTGGAGAACAGGAGGCGGGCATGGTGGGAATGGCAAAGCCAATAGCTCTTGGTAGTGGGTGGGCGAGGATGGGATGCTTAATAGTAACCTTAGATACCAACTAAGAGACCACCGAGGCCACCCCTCAAGGACCATTGGGTAAACTGAGGCCCAGGGAGGATAGGGCCTTGCACACTCTGGGTTCTCTCCCCCCATACCCCGAGCGTGTCTCAACTACTCCCTGCCCTGCCCCAAATAAATCAAGCCTAGCTATTGTTCCTACAAAACAAGGTCCTTTTATTGTGTGGGAATCATTAAAAAAGAAAGCGGAGCGCTCAGTCCCAGTCCTGGGCTCTGGGAGCCTGCCCGGCCCCTGCTCATACCCGGGACTTCCATCTGTCCCCACCTTCATCTTCCTCCTCCGCCATGACCACCTCCTCCAGGGTGCGCCCTACAAGTTTGCTTCCCACCAACGCTTTGCAGGTCCCGGCGGGTGGCAGCCCCTCCTCGGTGTAGAGACCCCTCAGGAACACAACTCTCTCCTGTCCATCCAAAGGCAGTCCGTGGGCCTGGCACAGGTCCCGTGCCTCCTCGGGCCCATCCAGGGCTAATAAATGCACCATGAAGTCCAGGGGTAAGGTCTGGCCCTTGGGGGTGCTCAGGGCACGAGAGAGGCGGGCCAGGGCCCTGCGGCGGGCATGGCCCACATGGCACTGTACAGCGCAGCTCTGCAGGTACGGCAGGGTCCGAAGCAGGCGGAAGAGGCGGGCGGCATTGCCTTCACGGAAGGCCGCATCCACAGCCAGGGCTGTGCGCAGGGCCGGGCAGGAACGCAAGGCAGTGGGCAGCTGCAAAACCTCATGAAGGGCCTCCACTGAGCCTGTGAGGGCGGGAAGCTGGGATGAGAACGGATCAGTCCTTCTATCCCATCCCCTCAAGCCTCCCCCAACTCATCTCTCCCACTCTCTCCAGCCCTGCACCTGGCCCATCTCCAGACCTCAGTCCCGCCTACCTCCCACTCTGGCCACGCCCACCTTCCCTCCCCCTTTCCTGAACCATATTTGAATGAGGGGCCAGGGTTCTCAGGGCCCCTGCAAACCTGGCACTTCGTAATAGTGAGGTAATGTTTACGGATGTAGGAAACAGGCCTAGATAATTTAACGACTTGCCTGAGATTGTTCATATGTAGAACTACATATGAACAGTTCATATGTAGAACTCGACCCAACAAAATCCAAGTTCTCTGACTTGGAACCCAGTCCTTTCTCCACTGCCCTAGCTGCTCCACAGATCAGGGCGCCGGCTAGGCCACACCTTTCCCTGTGCGCCTGGTAAAGCCATATGTAGTTTCTTCGAGGCGATTCTGCCTCTGCTTCCCTTCCAAAAGAATCACGAGCACTGGAACCTTCGGCCACTTTTGTAAAGTGAAGCTTCTGAACCATTAGGGGGTTGTGAAGTCAACGGTATTTTGTTACATTTAAATAGAATAGAACTTATTAGACTGCACCACCCATCCACAGAAAAGACCTAAATTCTTGAAACTTCTGTCTCAGATATATTTGTGGACATACGTCTTCTTTGATGCTTTGCAAAACTGACTGAACTGGAGATTTTAAAAAGTGTGAAAATCACTATCTGGGCCAACTTTTCCATTCCAACCTCGTCCCCTCCTCTTTGATTAGGAGAAAAGGCTCGATGGATCCGTGCATTGTCTCCATACACATTTAGGAGGCAGGGACGGGGAGAGGGCTAATGGTGAAATTTTAAAGCTTCTCCTTCCTTCCCCGGCCTCCGCTGTCCACTTAGAGGGTCCCCCAATCCCCGCGTTCTGCCCTGCTGCTAGGACTCTGACTCACCTAGGTTATAGAGCAGAAAGAGGCCCTGGAAGGCGGCCTGGCGGGGGTGCGGCCCGGAGCCCCGTGCGTAGCAGCGCCGCAGCGAACCGAAGCCCTCCTGCACCTGGGCCTGCAACAGCACCGGGTCCGCTGGCTCGTGCGCTGCGTCGGGCCCGAGCCTCGCCACCACCGCCAGCAGCACAGCCAGCGCTGCCTCCAGCACCACCGCAGTCTCGGAGTCGCCCGCGCGCTGCAGGGCCAGGTCCAGACGCACCGCGCGCAACCGATCCGCCACGAAACTGGCCACCTCCGCGCGGGATGCGTCCTCGCGTTCAGCCACTTCGCCCGCCAGGTAGCGCACGGTGGCCAGCAGCACGGACGGCGGACGCAGCTGGCTCGGTGGGGGCCGAGCCTTGCCGGCGGCGGGCCGGCTGTACTCCTTCACAGTGCGTTGCGGATCCGCGCGGGGCAGGTCCCCGCGGCACCCCGGCGCCACCTCGAAACGGTGCAGACGGCGCTCCTTTTCGCGCCGGGCGCGCTCGGCGGCTGGGCACATGTCCGGGCACCTGCCCACAGGCAGCTCGCAGCCGGGCATGAGTGGGCTGGCGGGAGAGGTAGGGCGATCAGCATCCCAGGGACTTCGACCACTCGCTGGATTCTGCAGGAGGGCACGCCCAGGCCCACCGAGGCTCGGAGAAGACGGGGCGGGGCCGACCCCGGCTGAGCCCGCCTCCTCGCCCGGGTCTAGGCGTCCCCGCCGCAGATCCAACCACCGCCGTCCTCTCATCGAATACTGTTGCTCTCATCGAATCCTGTTGCCTCTCACAGTCTCCAGCAGGACTCCCGTGATGCACTGCGTTGTAGTTCAGCGCCGCTACCTGTTCCGTGCGCTCAAGCCCCGCTAACGCCCCACGTAATACGCCGCACAGTCTAAGGTACTCCCATGATGCACCGGTTTGTAGTCTCCTTCGAAACGAATCGCTTTGTAAGGGGGCGGGGGAGGAGCGAAGCCACGCCTCCCAGGGTCCAGCCCATTGATGCGTCGCTATTTGGCTTTTGGCATCCACCCCGCAAAAAAATGGATACCCCTGCTTTGGGTTCCTCTCCATCATCCCTTTCAAACAATAAACGAGTTTAATCGGCATGTCTTTCTTTCTTCACTCTGTTTTCCTGGAGGCTATTCTCCCCATTTTCTAGATCGGGGTCAGCAAACTGTGTAAAGGGCCAGATAGTAAATGTTTTGGGACTTTCGGTCACAACTACATACTCAATCCTGCTGGTATAGGGGGAAAGCGGCCACAGACAATACTAAACGAATGAGCCTGGTTGTGTTCCAATACAATTTTTATTTTTTAGATACTTAAATTTCATGTCATTTTCCCCTGTTACAGAATAATCATCTTTTGATTTTTTTCAACTATTAAAAAATGTAAAAACCATTCTAGCTTATGGGCCTTACAAAAAAAAGATAGTTAGCCAGATCTGGCTGCAGGCTGTAGTTTACAGACCCTAGTTCTAGATGGGTAAACAGATAGTTCAGTGACCGGAACTGGTGCTCACACATCCAGATAGAGCCAGACAGGATTAGACGCGTGAGTCCCTGATTCCATGCTGGCAGGTATAGTCAGGGTGATGAGAAATCATTATTTTTCTCATTCTTGGTCCAGTTACATACAGAAATGGCCCCTGTTGTTGTAAGACCAGGAGATAGAGCTAGGCCCCAGGGAGAGGAGAGAGGGGTGGCTGGCAGTGCTGGAGCTTGAGTCCTGGGGAGGGGTTCACTCTCTCTCAGGGTGGGAGTTGGGACAGGTGTAGGTGCAGGATTTCCTCTGCTCGCTTTAGATATGCAGCCGCCTTCTTCTTCACACCCTCCTGGCGGGCAGGTGATGGGTCACCTATAGAGAGAGAATGGCTCAGCTGAGGTACCTGGGTTAAGAACCCCTGGTCTAGTCCCTTACAGTTCACAGAGTATCAATGTGTGTCTTTCCCCTTCCCTGGGAATCAGATCTATTCTCCCATTTTGCCAACAAGGAAACTGAGGCCACAAGAGGTAGAAAAACTGCTCAAGTTTGAACAGCTGGTCAATGAGGAGCAACTCTGATCCTTGACTTGCTTGTTCTTCGCTTTTCCCTCTTTTCCCTGCATCGTCCAGGACCCCAGGCCTCACCCTCCTCCTTCCAGTCCTACTCACCGGGAACTCCCTGAAGCAGGATGTGAACGCCATCCCGGTAGCCCTGCAGAGCTGCAGGGTAGGCGCCTGCCTTCTCGTCTCGTAGGGCCTGGGTGATGAGCTCTGTGGCTTGGCTCAGGTAGGCAGGGGTGGAACCTCCTTCCTTGTCCTCTTCCTCCTCCTGCCCTCCTGGTTCCCAGGGTTCCTGGTCTGGCCTCTCGGACTCTGCCTCCATTCCTGCCAGCTCACTTATGTGGGTAGGACTGGGGCCTGCACCTTCTGCAATCAGATATGGAGGACTCAGGCCAGACTGGCCCTCCCTTTCCCAGGGCCTGCCGCCCATTCCCCAAACTCTCTTGCCCATCAGGGTACTAACTCGTCCCAGGTGGACGGGAGCAGTGCAGAAGCAATCCAGAAGCCACTGCGCACAGCAGACTAGCCATATTCTATTTGATTGGTGTTTACGTGCTTTTGTAAAAACAGCCCCCCTTCCAAATTCTTTCTTTAGCTACACATTAACTTTAGTTTGTGGGCTCTGGGTCCCTTGTCCCGCTTCCTTCCTGACTACAGTTGATCTATCAATCCAAGAATTCTTTCCACAAAGTTTACCTGACCAACTACACCAGGCCAAGTGTAGAAACACTCCAAGCCTTGGAATCTTAGAATGGATTCAGAGAATCTTAGGGCTTTGTTTGAGGTCTTAGAATTTCCACTGAGGCCCCACATGTGAAAACAGTGGGTGGCAGACACCCTCACATTCCAGAAAGAAGGGCTCATTCTGTCCTCCAGGACTGATGGAGAGGTCGTCAAACATCCACTTTGCAGCTTACGTAAAAGAAGACTAGAGAGCTCGTGAATCAGTGAGGAAAAGGCGTTTGACGGGAAGGTGCAGGAGTACGAAGCACCTTGGCACACGAATGGCCTAGTGAGGAAAGGGTGGGCACCTCTCCAACCCCACCCAAGGGTCCCCTGGAGGAGACCATGGGCCTCCTGCAGGAAGTGAAGATAACATCTCCTTCCTAGCTGGCCCGCAGCTCTCCCTGGGTTGCTGATGGTGTAGGCAGAAGAATTCTTAGGGTGCCCCAATACTAGAGTTTAGGAATTTGGTGTATGTGATGGAGAGAGAGATACTGCCAGCTCCTTGCCTGGAGAATTCTGATGGTGACAGGCTTGCTGGAAGTGCCCACGACAGTACAGGAGATGAGGTAGCCCCTGAGCAACTGGCGCTTCCAGGCTTTGGTGGGGCAAGGATTTAAGCATTTTCCCATGGGCCGAGGCAATGTCTCATGGGAGCTGCCTTTCAAGAGTCTTGACAGGTTCCTGTCCACACATCTGGCCACCAGGCACCCCAGGGGATTTGGCTGGGGCAAGGCAGAGTATCTGGATGCTTGCCTCTTGGAGGCTGGGTACATTAGTCCCAGTGAAACCATGTGGCCCTGCCTTCCCCCCTCCCAATCCCTTCTTCCCGATTTCCAACCCTGAAGGGGCCGGAGGAAGGAGGGTAAGGAGCAGAACCAGAAGGAGAAAAGAACCCTCCTCACACTCCTGTCACCATGGCCAGGGGCCAGGCCACCAGTCAGTCCTAAGCCAGATGGGTACATGAGGCTGAAAACTAGATGGGAGACAGGTTCTGATCTAGATCAGACCCGAGGATGAGAGAACTCAAATGCCTGGAACTGATCAGAGAGCTAAGGGTCTGTCAGGAGGTCACTGAGGGTGAGAAAGGAAAGCCAACAAAATGGGTTTTAAAAGATCGCTGAGGAATCCGAAACGAAACTGATTCGTGATGATCCCAAAGCGGATCAGCCACTTCAACACCCCAGCTGCGGGAACAGCATAAACTCAGAGAATTTCACAAGGAAAAGTTCCAGTGTCTCAAAGCCTGGGACTGTCAGGTCTCCTGATCTCCGAGCCAGGAGCTCAGGACCTGGCCCTCTGTGGGGGCCTTCTGTCTCTAGTGTCCTCACATGCCAGCAGCTGCTCTGAGCCCAGACCTCACCCCTTTTGACCAACAGGCCTCTCCTGCCTCCAGGATCTGCAGCCAGACCCCGAGCCAGCCAGAAAAGCCCCACCTTGGGCTTCCAACAGAGGAACTCAACCCTTCACAGAGCAGTGTGACCTCTCTGCAGGTTCCAGAGCTTTCTCAGGGAGCAGACCCCACCTTGGGAAGTCGCTGATTTCCTTCCTCCATGGCCGTTCACTATACAGGGGCATCCAGCTTGCCACGCTGTACGCCGTGGACCCCGGCTCTGGACTATAGCACCTGCTTCTAATTCTCATCGAGGCTGCCATTTGCCCACAGTGGGCGCCTTTCTCAGATTTACACAAGTACCACGGTTAGTTGGTGGCTCTGCCTGCCCCCTGCTTGTGCCAGCTCGTTACCTTCCCTGGAGAAGGGGTCGAAGAGGGCCAGCTCCGCCTCGGTAAGGGGGCCTCGGGCAGGGGAACCAGACGCCTCCTCGGTGCTCCCACCGTTGAAGAGGAGATCCAGGGCTTCCTGGGCAGGGCTGGATGGCGGGGGGTCCGCTGAAGAATAGATCATTGAGGACATTCATGCCTGCCCTTATCACTTCCCTGTTTTCACAATGGAGTTACCTCTCACTGAATCCTTGCAGCAACCATGGGCTAGACAAGCCCATTTTTAGGGTTTGTGCCCATTTTACTGATTAAGAAACTACAGCCTAGACGACCCGAGCAGAGCTCCCAGCAGGTTGGTGGTAGAGGAGCTGGGGCACGCTCCAGGCTTTTCACTAAGATCACTGAAGAAGGAGTGTGCCCCTCCCCGCACAGGACCCTCCAGCCCTGGCTCCCTCTGCAACCCCCATGTACCTGGCACCTCCGACTCCTCGAGGCCCCTCTTCTCCACGGGGAGCGGCTGGGGCAACCAGGACTCATCAGGTGGCGGCCGGGGCTCCTCTGGGGGTGGCGTGGGGATCAGAGGGGGTGGCAGGATGTGCAGGTCCTTGGATACCTCAGAGGGCCGTGTCACCTCCCCACCCTGCAGCAGAGAAAGACCAGCCGGGGGAGGGGGTCACAGGGTGCAGCCTGGTGGGTGGAAGGTTTCCCAGGCACTGGGGAGGAGGACAACAGGGACACATACTCGGAAGAACTCCTTGAGCTGGGGGCTGTTGTTGAGCGCGGGGATGTGCACGGTGAAGCGAAGCAAGTCTTCTGCCCCCTTACGCCGTTCCTCGATCACTGAGGCTTCGAACCGGCCTGCAGCCGCCAGGACAAGAGGCAGGGAGAGAAGTGATGACCCGCAGGGGCCTCTGGCCCCTAGGCCACTATTCCTGGTTCTGCCTGGAGGGGATCTGAGCAGCCAGCTGCCCCCTATTCCATTCCCTCAGCAATCTTCCTTAACTCCTCTCGAGGTGGAGGTGCTTGTGAGGAGGGACCAATCCCTCTGTTCATCCATTTTTTGGATGTTTATTGAGCACTTACTATGTGGTAGTTTCAGAAGGTCAGTGAGAGAGAAGCAAGCTCTCTGCCCTCATAGATATCACATCCTAGACAGGGGGAGGCAGGTAACCAATTAGAAAATAATTTCAGATGGCTTTAATGTAATGGGGAAGAAAGTAACGCTCAGAGAGGGCAAGTGACTTGCCCAAGGTCACACAGCAAGTATCGCTGTTTTTCATGGTTTCACTGCTCTGGTCTATGTATCATGCAGAGTTATCTAACAGAGTAGCCTGCTGCACTCCCCACTGCCTGGCATAACCTGCCGGCAGCACCCCTTCACCTTGCTGCAATAGGTGAAATCTAGAGACCCAAGTACAGATCGGCCCTTTCCGACAGAAATATAATCCGAGCCGCATGTGTAACTTATAATTTTCTAGTAGCCACATTTAAAAAAAGTAAAAAGAAACAAGTTAATTTTAATAATGGTCTTCTTAACCCAATACATCCAACGTATTCCCCTTTGAACATGTAATCAATACATATACACTGCTGAGATAGTTGACATTCTTTTTCCCACGTATATGTGACCCGTACAGTGCGTCATAGCTCAGACTCACCATGTCTCTAGTGCTCCCAGCCACGCTGGCTCATGGCTGCTGTTTTTAGACAGCGTAGGTCTACAGGAAACACGGCTCATGGGCAGGAGTTCTGGTTCTGCCACTTAGAGACCCAGCCCCTTCATCTCTCTGAGCCTCGGTTGCCTCATTTTGAAAATGGGGTTACTGAGGACAAGAATGTTAAAGTACCTGACGCACAATCAGGGTGAGGCTGCTCTGAGCCCCGGTGTCCCCATCTGTTAAGTGAGGCCATCTCTCCGGGCCCTTCCAGCTCTCTGAACAGTCTTTGCAGGGTTTCAGGCCCTGTCTATCTAGCCGCCACCAGCAGAGGTCCCCTGTGCCTGACTCTTCCATCATCTTTGGCCTAAATTCCTTGATTGCTACTCACCGAACACCTGGGCCCGGGGGAACGCAGGGAACTCCTCCAGGCGGCGGAAGAGGTTGCGGTGGGTGTAGGCCAGGTCTCCATGAAGCTTGCGGAAGTCGCTGTACCGCTTCCAGACCACCACCTGAGAAGGACGGGGGCTTGACCACACCAGCACTGGTGGGAGGCGCCTTCCCCACCCCTGCCCGCCCCGGGGTCTGTGAGGATGAGGGCCGCAGCAACCCCTCCTCCCAGGGCCAGGGAGGAAAAGGGGCTGGCCTTGCAGTAAGCGGCTGTTCCTTTACTGTTTCCCAGATCTGGAACTGGGGAATGGCCCCCCTTCATCCCAGGAGCCTCACCTCCTTGACATCCTCTGGGTCCCTCTTTGAGATGAACTGAGGAAGAAAGGCAAAAACCAGGTGAGACCAGCGACTGACATCTGACACCTCATCGCCCTATAAAATCCCAGGATGCCCCAGGTTCCTCTCAAAGGGGCAGTGACCACTGGCCACTGGGACCAAGGTGTCCTGGCTTTAAGGCTTTGAGCGTAACTCAGAGCAGTTTTTCTGCCATGCACCTGTTTCTTCATCTGCCAAATGGGGGGATCCCTAAAGGCCCGTCCGGACCGCTCCATCCTCAGCCCCACTTTTATCTCGGTTCCTTCAAAGAGCCAAGTCCCTGTAATTCCTTTTGAAACCAAAGAACCCCAAGTCCTCTAAAAATTAAGGTGTGTCCTAGGACTGTGGATGAACACTCCTGGACACAGAAGAAACAGACACTGGGGCTGTGACCCCCAGAAGAGCAGACTGGGGTCTGAAGTAGAAAGAAGACTCCCTTTTCACTATGTTGTTCATAATAATTAAAAAATAACACCCTACAGTTTGGAGTACTTGACAGTTTTCAAAACATCTCCTGTTCCTTTTCCTCGATCCCATGGAGGCAGACATCCTCAACAAGCCCTTTTAAAAAATGAGGAAATGGACACTCGGACTGGGGACATGAACTATACAAGGTCACACGCACCAAGTAAGGAGATGTAAGGACTGAAAAGTAAGGACTGAAATCCTGGCCTTTGCTTTTCACGACAGACTTGCTTAAACTATTTTTGGGTAAAAGCAATTAGATTTAAAAACCATTGAGAAATATATACGTGACTAAGGACTGATGTCCAGACTAATACAAAGAACTCCTACAACTCAATACTAAAAAGACAAGACAAACAACTCTACCCAACTTGAAAAAGTAGGCAAAATACTAGAACAGGCAACTTCCCTAAAAGAAGACATTTGAGTGGCCAATAAGATTATGAAAATATACTCAATATTATTATTCATCAGAGAAATGCAAATTAATACTCCAATGAGATACTACACACCCACCAAGAATGGCTAAAATTAAAGATGCTGATGATATCAAGTACCGGCAAAAATGGGAGAATAAAACAGAACAACCATGTTAGAAAATTGGCAATTTCTAGGAAAGCTACACATATGTTTATCAAATGTCCCAGCAATTCTACTCCTAGGTATACACAAAGGAGAAATGAGTACACACATCCATAAAAAAACGCTTGTACACAAATGTTCACACAACTTCACTCCTAACAACTAAAATATTTTAGAAACAACCCAAATATCCAATAATAGGAGAATGAATAAAGGAATGGAGGTATAGTCTTACAATGGACTATAACTACATAGTAAGAAAAATAACAAACTACTTATACATGCAAAAAGGATGAATTCCAAAAACATTATATTGACACAAAAGAGTACTTGCTGTGTGATTCCATTTGTATGAGATTCAAGAACAAAACTCATCTATGGTGACAGAAGCCGGGGCAATGGTTACCTCTCTGGGAGGATTATTGATTGGAAAGGTGCAAAGAAACTTTCTGGGGCGATGGAAATGTCTACGTCTTGATCTGAGTGGTGTTTGCACAGATGTGTTCATGTGTAAAAATTTCTAAGCTGTACACTTACTATTTGAGCATGTTACTTTATGAAAATTAGGTCTCAGTTTAAAAAATTTTAAAGGTGAAACAATGAAAAAATTGAGAAATACCAGCAAGTGAAAAAAGCAAGATGCACAATGCCACTGTGCGTAATAACAACATGGATACTCACATTTGCTTTTAAATGTAGAGCTTATCTGCAAGGCTAGATAAGAAACTACCAGCAATGGTTCCGATGAAGATGATAAATGGGAATGGTAAAGGAGGGAAAATTATTTATCTTTAAAAGTTATAAAAATGCATCAAAGTAGTGCACGTTACTTGTTTCAAAAGCCAATGGAAAGATTTATAGGAAAAGGTTACAGTCCCTTGCCACAACCACCCCATCCCCAAGTCCATATTCTAAAGAAGTATCTTTTTAATTTGTATTTTTCAGGCATGGGGAATACATTATAAAAGATTTGGGGAGTCTATCGATAGACAAATGGATAAAGAGAATGTACATATATATAATGGAATATTACTCAGTCATAAAAAAGAACAAAAGCTTGCCAAATGCAACAACATGGATGGACCTAGAGGGTATTATGTTAAGTGAAACAAATCAGACAGAGAAAGACAAACACTATATGATTTCACTTACACGTGGGATCTAAAAAACAAAACAAACAAACAAAACAGAAACAAACTTGTAGATACAGAGAACAAAATTGACAGTTGCCAGATAGGAGAGGGTTGGGGGGCTGGATGAACAAGGTAACAGGATTAAGAAGTATAAATTGCAGGTTATAAAACAGTCATGGGGATGTAAAGTATACAGGATGGGAAATGTAGTCAATAATAACGTACTAACTACGTATGGTGTCGGATGGGTACTAGACTTATGAGGGGGTCACTTTGTAAAGCATATAAATGTCTAATCACAATGTTGTACACCTGAAACTACTATTATATTGTATGTCAACTGTAATTGAAAAATAAATTAAAAAAAAGATTTTGGGGAAGCTCATTTTAAATATCTTGTATCTGCACTTAAATCACTTTGGCAGTATCTTTATATTCTTGCTCCTCTTTAATGGTTTAGTAGTTGCCTAGTTCAAAATTCTAAAGGTACAAGAAAATTAACAGTGATAATAAAATCCTTCCCCAAACCAGTTCTTGTATTTCACTCTACAGCTATTAGTGTAGTTTCTATTTTTAATTCTTTTCACGGTTTCTTCCAGGTCTCTTTACACAATGTGCTTATGATGTTGTTACTGCTTCATTTATCAACTTTAGTCTTTTATCTATTGACTTCCTGCTATGACTGTGAAGATGGAGACTTGCTCCTTAAGTTCTTTTGAACTGTATGCTTTTTAAAAAATTGGACGAGTACTTTTCGAAAAACGAAAAATAAATTATTTAAAGAGCTTTTATGTAAATCTCTAACAAACCAAAAAACAAAGCTTACTCTAAGAGATTGGAGAACTAATATTTGGGATGAGCTAGAGTTTTTGTTAATTTAAAGAAATTTACGGCCTCACGCCCACGTACCACACCTAGGGGTGGGTAACCCAACTCACCGGATCGGAACTGCAGTCCAAGCCCTTTTAAGAGGACAGCGCCCTCTCATAACCCCGCCCCCTGACGGCTAGAAAGGAAGACGGTCCGCGCAACGGCTTCCCCTTAAAGGGGAAATATATTTCTGTCGTCCGAAAAGGGATGTTCTACCAGTGCCTTGCCTTAAGGTAAAACTCGGCATCCCTCTTGTTAAAAGGGTAAGGTCCCCGCTGGGCCCTACCTCACCTGCGCGGTCACTTTGTACTCGGTGTAGCCCTTGGGGTGGGTCCGGGGGTCGGAGACTGTGTAGTGCCGCAAGAAGTCGTCCTTCGCCTGGCGGGACATGGCAACTCAGCTGGAGCAGAGCCGACCGCTGGCCTTAGCCTCCTCCACGTCGCCCCCGCCCCTCCCGGTCAGCAGCCGCCAGCCGCCGCCTAGCCTGGGCCTGCGCCCTCCGTCCTCGGGCCTAGGGAGCTGGTCACAAGTGACAGTGCAGTTCTCGGCCCTGGAGCGCGGCCAAGGGAGCGTCTAAAAAGTTCTCGGTCGTTGGTAAAGGGTAAACTAGGGGATTTGAGAGTAAGGATTGGGAAGGTTGGATCACTCAGCTCAAGCCCACCCCATCCGAGGTAAACCCTCATCACAGATCTCCAAAGGACTTCTCCTCTGCTTACCAATTCCCTTCATCCATTTACCCATTTTTTTATTGTGGCCAATATGTGCCAGACTTAACCAAATTATTTCTCCGTCTCCCTCCGTAGGATTCGCTAATGTGTGTTTTCTGGAAAGGTTGGGCAGGGGAGCAAAAAGAATTCGGAGAAGCACGATGGTGTCATGGGTTCGAAGTCATACTTTTTACCAGCTGTATGACTTTCTCATAAATGCCGGAGCCTCAGTTTCTCATCTCTAGAATGGGGATGTTTGTAATAGAATCTACTGCGGTGGATGTTTGTTTCTTCCTTTGTTGTCACTTCTTCCTGTTAGTACGGTTGTACCAGATCTTTGTTTGGAGGAAGTTCTCTAGAATGTGTAGCCTCCAGCCTCCCACCCCAGAATCCAAAGGTGCCAGCTCCTTGCCTTGCTCCAGGTCCCAGGTCTGGGTGGGGGACTCGCTCCTGAGTCCTTGAATCTTGAGTGAGGGACAAAGGGCACAGTGCCTGGCAAGGGGACCTACTTGTTCCTAGAGTACAGTGTTGGCTGTGGGTTTGGCTGCCCAGCTTCTGAAGCACTCTGTTTTCCAAGCCTGGATGTCCCACCTCCATCCGGATGCCGTGAGTCCCTACTATCCTTCCAAGAAACTGTCCTTTCTGCTATAGGCAGTTATAATCTGCGTCTGGGGCAGGCTGTCAAGGACCCTGACTGTACCACCACCACCAGGCTGCGAAGCTTAAATGCGGCGGTGTGGGTGGAGCGCTTAAGCATTCATGGCTGCTCTTGTTACTGGAACTCAGATGTCCGGGCTCTGGATGGCCAGTCTCCCGAAAGAAGGACAAAGCAAAAGCCCAAATCAGACCCTTGGAAGCTCAGATATGAGGTAGCTCATCTATGAGGTGTTCTGGAGGGGGCTGGGAAGGGTGGTGTCCTCGCCTACTACACACACTGGGGATCCTCTAAAGACCCCTTGGGAGGGACATGACTCCTGTTCTCTAAAGCTCTCTGGGCGGGACTGAGTCTCCTCGTTAATGATTAACTCCCCTCCCAGGCCTGGCAGCTCCTAATTCTCCCCTTTCCACTCTTTTTTCCTGTCTCCTCCAAGCCTTTTCCTGTGTAGATCAGTTTAGCCTTTGGCCTTCTCCAGATGCCACCTCCGCCCGTTCCATCACTAGGAGAAACAAACAGAAGAGCCTTCTAGAAGGCAGGGGAGAAGGGAAAGCTGCAAGCACACAGCTGCAGCGAGCCTGCTCCCCGCATTCGCCCTGTGTCTGCTTGACCATGTGATGCAGACTTTCCGCCACAGCTCAAACTCCCCATCCATAGGCCTTTGTGATGAGTATAATAACCTTATTATTTTCTTGTCTCTAACCATGCATAATTCACATTTTAAATCCAGGGTGCTGCTTACTAAAAGGCCCTCAGGACTTGAACACTGGGGTGACTCACTGGATCAGCGGATGGCTGAGTTCCCATTGGTCGGATCTGCTCGAGCTCCTGCTGGTTCATATAATGATAATTATAGCTAACATTATGCCGTGCTTAAGACACAAAAGACACCCACCCATTTGTTCCTCATCCCAACCCTAGGAGGTAGGTGCCTTTATCTTTCTGCAGATGAGGAAACCGAGGCACAGACAGGTTGCTCAGTATCACTCAGTGAGTGGCAGAGCTAGAGTTTGGCTCTGGGCCTGGGTTGTTCACTCAGCACAGGGTTTGGGAGCGTGAGGACCATGGTGTCGTGCACAGAGGACAGGGAAGGCAGTTTGTTTTCCACACTGAAGGACAGTTGATGTTCTAAGGTTGTCCACCCGACATCCATGCCCCTTTTACCACCCTAACAAAGCCCAGATTTTGCACAGGTGTCTACAAGGGATCCTAGTGCCAGTTTAAGAGCAAATATGGCGTTTCTTCCTCACCTTTCCCTTGGTTAAACTACCCCTCCCTCATTAGACACATTAGGCCCCCTCTCACTGGCGTTTAAATTTCAAACAGAGACAAAAACTAAAACGGTTAGGAGGGCCTAGTGCTAAGTGTGCTGGGTCCAACCCCCAGCTCCCCGACTTTGAGTAAGTCATGTAAACTCCTGGAGGCTCGGTTCCCATATAAATGGGGATACTGGGAGTCCGTACTGTTTAGGGTTCGCCTTAAATGTGACAGCGAGTAGTGAGTGCTTTGAACAGAACCCTGCAGATTAGGCTGAGACCACAGAATGGGGCCCTGTAAAAATATCCCTCTGTCCTGCCACCCTGGGGCCACCCTTCCCAGCCTGGCCCCTGTTCCAGCCTCCAGGGAAGGCCCCTTCCTGGCTGTGCCCTTGGTTAGCTACTCCTACACCTGAGTCATTTCCCAAGAATCTTTGCTTTTCATTCTTCTGCTTGAACCAATGCTGCCTTGTACAGCTGTGCATGTTGTCCACTGTATGTGGGTTCTTGGCTGTGACAGGAAATTGGGAGCTGAAATTCAGCCCGTGTTCCGTTCAAGAATCTGTGAGCCCTGATGTGAGGGTGCATCCTTTTTTCTAATTCATACCTCTGAGGGTAACAGTCGCTTTGGTAAACTGTCTTCCCCCTTCCTCTGGAAAACTACTCATCCTGAATTCCCAGTTTTAATGTCGCCTCCTCTGGGAAGCCTGCCTAGACTCTTCCAAATGGAATTAGTTGCAGCCTGGTCCTGTGCTTCTATGTTCTTTGCATATGCCTTTGACAAAGCAGAGTTAACACTGAAATTCTCTCTCCCTCCGGACGGTGGGCTGTAGACGGTCTCTAAAGTTGTTGAATCAGTAAATAATTCAGCTGGGAGTAGGGGCAAGGAACTGTTTATTCTTACAGCTGAGCAAAGGACGAGGCCCACAGCCTCCATAGCAGCAGAGACAGCCCCCGCCCAGCCCCAACCCTCACCTCTTGGTATGGCAGCTGCAGGGCCAGGTCAGGAGCCAGGGTGACAGCCAGGAGGGCAGCCCTCCTGTCATGGGAGCTGGCTGGCCACGGAGCAGCAGCGGGCGGCGGCAGCAGGTTACGGAGGGGTTGGGGAGTGTTAGTTGGGCTGGCTGATTCCCATCCTCCCACGGATGGTGCTTGGTGAGGGCCAGGGGGTAGAAGGGACGACCCAGACTGTGATGTCGGGGCGTCTGGAGCGGCTCAGTCGGCCGTGAAGATGCGGCTGGAAATGTCATCCAGGAGCCAGTCAATGCCGGGCAGCAGGTTCTCCCCAGTGACGGCGCTGCAGCCCTGGATGCACCAGTGGTGGCTGTGGATGGAGTCCAGCTCCAGGGCCTGAAAGCGGGGAAAGTGCTGCTGGGGCCCAGTGACCCTGCCGGCTAGAGGCTCCGTCCCGCTCCTGGCCCAGAGGGAATCCATACCTCCTCAAGGCCCTGCTCTGGGAAGCCTCCCCTGGCCTCTGGTGAAGATGCGTCAGCCCCGCAAGGCGCCAAGGCTCGCCGTACACTGCCATGCCAGCACTATCCCGTAAGGATATAAAAGCAACACAGGCTTCCGAGCATCGCTAGGATCCAGGCATTGTGCTATGTGCCCTACAAATGTCCTCTCATCCATTCCTCCCAAGGCCATATGAGCCAGACACTGTGCTGGCCATTTGACCAAGGAAAGCTCAAGACAGGTTAAGCAAACTGCCTAAGGTCACACAGCTAGTAAGTGGCAGAACCAAGATTCTAACCCCTCTTTCTCATTCTGGTGCTCAAGTGCTAGAAAAACAGTTAAGATGCAGACTCTGTCTAACGGTGTCGTCTGATCTTGGAAGATAAGAAGGGTCAGGCCTGGTTAGTACTTGGATGGGTGACCACCTAGGAAGACCGGGTGCTATAGGCATAAAAAAAAAAAAAAAACGAGAGATGCAGACTGTGGGGTCAGACAGGCCTGTGTTTAAATCCTGGCTTGTCTACTTACTGGCTGTGTGACCTCAGGCGAGTTACCTAACCTCTTTAAGCCTGATAATAGTTCCTCCCTCATGAGGTCGTTGTGAGAATTGGATGAGTGAATCCATGCAAAGAGCCTGGCACACAGAAAGCCCTGACTACATGGCTGTCACCCTGTGGCATGATCTGTTTGCAGGCCTGCCTTCCTCCAGGCTAACAGGCGCCACTGACTGCTGACTCTCCAGCGCCCCGAATAGCAGGGGCTAATAAATGCTTTTAAAATAAGTTAACAGGGAAATGTGTGCCTCTTTTCCTCCCCGAGCCTGTGCTGAGGCCTGAACTCACCTCACGGATGGCATTAGAGGACAGTGCTCCGGGAAGGTCCTGCTTGTTGGCAAAGACGAGGAGGGTGGCTCCGGCCAGGCGCTGGAGAAGAGACATGGAGGGGTATTTGGGCTCGGAGGGCAGCCTGGCCCCTCACCTAATCCCCCAGAGCATCTGGAGTCAGCAACCTGGAAGATGAGGGCAAGGCCCCGTGCGGTGGGAGCGGCCCAAGCAGGGTAGGCATTGTGGACAATGCCTCTGAGGCCGGCACACATTGGGCAGAGGGAGCCCTGGGCTGGGCCTGGGCCTGGGCCTGGGCCCCGGCTCTAGTCCAGTCACCACCCAGTGGGCATCTCCCAGCCCACTATAGTTCTCGACTGCTCCATTGGATGATCTGATGTGCACCAAGAATGCAACTGTCCCAGAGGCCATGGGGTCCGCTGGAAGTGGCCTTTCCCTTTTCTAAGTGCATGTAGCCCTTTACTGTCCCACTGCCCTGACAGGCCTCTCCGCCTCTGATTCTAGTTATATCCATGTGTGTGTTTAGTTCTGGAAGTTGCTCCAAATGGGCAGTTATAAAGGGCCAGGCCTGGGCATTTGACAGCCATCGCACTGGAGCTGCTTGACACCCCGGAAGGTAGCTACTGTTATACCAGGTGACCATATGTCCCTGCGTGCCCAAGACAGCCCCGTTTACAACTGCTGTCCCTGCATGATCATTAACAACCTCCTCTTTCTCTCAAAAGTGTCCTCATTTTACTCTCAATGCGCTGTGGTAACCTGGGTCACATCCTGGAACAGAAAAAGGATATTAGTGGAAAAACTGGTGAAATCCAAATATAGCCTGTAGCTTTTAAGAGTAACTTCCCAATGTCAGTTTCTTTGTTTTGACAAATGTACGGTGACTATGTGAGATGCTGACAGTGGTGAAGCAGGGTGAGGGTATATGGGGTCTCTCCTCGCTATCTTTGTAACTTTTCTGTAAATCTAAAATTTCATTTAAAGAAAAGTGTTTTAGCCCATACAATAAATTATAAGATCACCCTAATTATAATGCCCATTGTAGAGATGAGGAAGTGGAGGTTCAGAGAGGTCGAGTGCCTTGCCTGAGGTCACACAGTGAAGGGTCTGACTCCTGAGCCAGGCTCACACACTGGCCTGCAGTCATCCTCTCTAAAGCCTGATGTGAGGTGTGGAAACGAGCTCAGGGTGGTGACGCAGTGACATCACAGAGATGTGAGCCCGGGTCTCGGTCCACAGTGTGTCCTGCCTGCGGCACCATGGGCCTCCCTGAACCAGGGGTCGTCTCTGCCTCCCCAAGAGTACTGGGCACGTGGCGAGGGCTCAGGGAAGGAAGAGACCCTGATCTAAGCGTCCCTCTGCGGTCACAGAGCCCTCAGGGAATCTGTGAGGAAGGTGTCCACATATCATGCATGCGCACAAAGCACTGGGGCCTGGACACCGGTGGAAGCCCAGCCGCCCTCCCCCCACCCCAGCCAGGCCCCCTGCCCACCTCCTCCACCAACAGGCTCTGGAGCTCGCGCTGGCAATCCTGCATGCGCTGGCGGTCAGCGCTGTCCACCACCCAGATGAGGCCATCCGTGCTCTCAAAGTAGTTTCGCCAGTAGGAGCGCAGGGACTTCTGGCCGCCCACATCCCATATGTTCAGCTTGAATCTGCGCAGGGACGGGATGGCTGGCAGGTCAGCCTGACTGACCCCACCCTCCCAGCCCTGCTCTGGGCTGCCTGCCCACCTGCAGGGACCCCGCTCACCCCCGGTGCTCCAGGGTCTTGATGTTGAAGCCCAGCGTTGGAGAGATGGTGTCGATGTCCTCTCCATTGAACTTCTTGAGGATGGTTGTTTTGCCAGCATTGTCCAGGCCACTGGGGCACACCAGGTTAAGGAGAAACCCCCGTGCTCTGCAGGGCAGTGACACTGTCACAGTGCCCCTTTCTCAGGGGACAAATCATTTTCCGCCACCTAGCAAAATCAGTTGAGCACATGCCTGACCCATCATTGGCCCAGGATAAATGAGGAAGTATTAAACAAATATCTCCTCCTGACCAGACTCCTTAATTCACTCCACGATATTTACTGAATATCTATTAAATGCCAGGCCATCTCCTGCTGCTAGGGGACCCAGAGTCAAAGTCTCGCCCTTGTGCAGTTTACCCTCTAATGCAGAGACAGCTGATAAGAGTTCAAACTGATGAGAAACACGGTACTGTCAGATCCTGGTGAGTGTTAGAAATACAAGGAGCAGGCTTTTGCGGAGGGTCATTGGAGGAGCTTCCTTCGGCTTGGGCACCGGGGAAGGACCCTCTGAGGGTCTCAAGCTGAGGCCCAAACTACAAAGAGTCAACTCTTTGAAACGCCCGGGGAAGAGCATTCTAGGCAGAAGAAAAGCAAGAGCAAGTATCTGGAGGCAGCTACCCTTGCCTTTCTGTTTATGGAATGTTCCAAACCCTTTGCAGCTGAGTGTGCAAATGAATGGGTGAGTTCACTAGCCAGAGAGAATCCTCCTCCTTTTTCCAACGCTTAAGGAGCCTGCAGTTGGGGGCGGGGGGGCCAGGCCCGGGACTCAGCAGGCTTTCTGCTCGCCTGACCTGGACGAGTGACTCAAACCAGTGACATGGGGGCAACAGAACCTCTCCTGAGGCCCAGCCTCAGCCCCTGATAATCGGCTGATTACCCGCTCTCCCAACTCCATCATCCACGTTTCCTTCTCCACTGGATCATTCCCCTCACCTGACAAACTGACCTCTCGCCCACTTTACAAGGAGCAAACATCCTCTCCTGATCCCTCTCCCCCTTACTTACTCCTCTATTTCCCTTTTTTTTATAGCCAATTTCCTCAAAACCGTGTCCATACTCATCCTCTCCAATTTCTGTCCTCCTGCTCTTTCTTGAACGCACGAGTCTTTTGCTTCCTCTGCTTCCCCACGACTGCTCTTGCCGAGTCTGTCCCTAAAGACTCTGACGGCCAGGCAGTCCTCAGTCCTCACCTTCCTGCTCCACCAGCAGCACCTGACAGAGGGGCTTGTGCTTCCCTCAGCTCCAGGACACACCGTCGCCTGATTCTCCTCCTCCACTCCTGGCCACTCATCTCCGTGACCTCCCGATCTAAGTACGCCTCAGCAGTGTCTGTCCACACTCGCCCCCTCGATGGTCTCATCCAGGATCATGGCTTCGAACACCCCCTTTATGCTGATGATTCCCAAACTTATATGTCCCATCCAGCTGCTCCCATGGACATCAGTCCCTATATCCAGCTGCCTATCTGACGTTTCTGAGATGTCGCAGAGGGATGTCACATGCCCAAACTGAGCTTCCATGTTTTCTCTGACCTTGCTCCCTGCCAGCTTCTCCATCTCAGCAAGTGGCTCCTCATTTTTCTAATTACTTGAGCCAGAAACCTAGCAGTCCTGCTTGACTTCACCCTCTCCGGTGTCCAATCCAGCAGCAATTCCCGCTGGCCCCACTGTCAAAACGTGCCCCAACTTCCATCCCCTGACTGCCTGCATCCTTGTCTGAGCCACCACCCTCTCTCACCTGCGTTACTGCAGTGGCCTGGCCTCGGATCACATCCCCCCACAGCACTTCTCATTTAAAGGAAAAGCCAAGAACCAAAACGCCCCACAGTGAAGCCATCACCTCTCGGTCCTAACCTAGTACTGTCCTCCACACTGTCCCCCTTGAAATTCCTTTAGAGACACCTCGAGTTTTTTTCTAGGCGTTTGCACTTGCTGTTCTCTTTGCTTAAACAATTTCCCCCAGATATCTACACGATTCATCCCTCATGTCCCTGTCATCACTCAACTTACTTTCTCAATGCCACTTTCTTCGATCACTTTATTTAAATTGCATTCTTCTCCACGCATACCATATATTTTACTTATTTGCTTTTAACATCTTTCTCCCTCAATTACAAAAGGCTCATGAAGGCACGGGTTGTTTTTGTTTTACCCCAGCCCCTAGGACAGTGCCTAGCACATACTAGGCGCTCAAAAAATATTTATTGGATGAGTTGATTCTCTGCGCCTTTCTCACTTTATTTTTTTCAAGCACTTTAAAACAACATATGATGTGAATGTTATGTCTGAGCTATCTGTACACACGGATGTCTCCTCCCTGCCGGGGAGCTGGGGCGGAGGAGAGGGCGTCCTGGCATAGACTAGGGCGAACGAGTGCAAATGCCTGCTCATGGAACTCGGCAGGTTAGCGGGGCCCTCGGGCCTACAAGCCGTCAGACGCGGGGACAATGACGGGCAGTGCGGCAGCAAAGAAAAAGACGGGACAATTGGACCCACGGGCAAAAGTACCCGCGGAGTCCACACCCTCCTTTCCCCGGAGCCGTAGGCAGAGTCTGCATGCCGCGGGAATTCCGACCTACAGGGCGGGGCCTGGCCCCTAGGAGAAGGGGGGGAGGCCGGAGCCGGGGAGGACTGCAGCCCCACGCTTCACGCCAGACTAACGTGTGGTGGCGTCTGGGCCACCTTCGAGTCCCACTTCCCCTCTACATGAGGTCATCTGGTCTGGCCGCTGAGCCATTAGGCCCACACCTTTGGCCTTGGGAACGGAGTCCCCCCGCCCTGAGCCCGTGGTACGGCCTCCTCCCGGCCCCCCGCCAGAGGTGATTGGTAGCGCCCACGTGCGTGACGCACAATAAGGAATTGGGAAGGGCCAGCCCGCCGCGCACCGCCGCGCCCGGTAGGGGGCGCCTAGTGCCGCCCACCCGGCGGGGTCCCCGCTACCCTGGCGGCTCCGGTGTCCGAGAGGATACAGCATGAGCAGTCGCAGCTCCCGCTCTTTCTGCTTCATCTTCTTCAGGATGGTCAAAAGGCCCATGATCCCCGTAGCCCCCTCCGGCAGCCGTTTTCAGTCCCGGGACCCCTCTCCCTGCTCCTATTGGCTATCATGCCCACCGACAGCACAGTTTATTGGCCGGACCCTCACTTGGTCCCGCCCTCGCTCCCACGTGATCGCGAAGTCTCCCAGCGGTGTCGCGGCGAAGGTCCCTCTAGCGGTGATGGGGCTTCTGAGCGGCCACCTGCGTTAACCCTTCGCATCCCGAGGTCTTGAGGGACTAGGACGCCGCCATTCCTTCCTCCCCAGGACCTCAGGCTCAACCGGGAATAGAAACCTGAAGTTCCTGGGTTGTGTCTTGGCTGCATAGGGAGTTAGAGTTCAGACTCAGAATCAGAACCGAGAGCCCCAAGTTTGTTGACGAGCTCATCCCGGCGCCAGGGTAAGGCTCTGTTCCCCGAAAACGTGGTGTAGATCCTTCTCATCTCCGGCCTCGGTGTCATCTTGAACCTGCCGGTGACAGAGCCTTACCCTTTCCCTGGCACTTGGAATCGTAGAGAGTGGGCAAGGGGTTCTCCATCGAGGGCGAAAATGCCCTTTAGGAGCGGTTTCGGAATGTGCGAGGGCGTCATTGCGTTGTCCCCAATGTCATTTAGAGGACAGGGTGCAGTCTCACACAAAGAATTATCCCACCCAAGATGGCCATCATTTCTCTGTTAAGAAGCACAGTTCTTCGTTTTGCCTATGAGAAAGTTGAGGCTCACACGGTGCTTAGCATACTGGCATATAGTAACTGCTCAATAAATATTTGTTGTTGAATGAATGACTTTATCCGATAGTTTGGTTCTTTACCTTAGTACTCGGGTCCAGAAAAAAGTGAGGAAACTGAGGCCAGGGACTAGGCAGTAAACTCAGAAGAGCGAACCTTATTGTCTTCTTTTGAGCCCTTCCCCCAGCCTACTACAGGATAAAAGAGAGTGGGCAGTACAGAGAGGGTTCTGTCCAGCGCTTGAGAAAGAGGTCGGGCACCAGCTGGAGATAAGGGCTAACTTCTGTGTAATTTTTTATAAAGCACTCCATGTTTTTTACTTCATCCTCCCAGCAACCCTGAAAGGTTTATTTCCTTTTTGTGGATGTTACAGTGGAGCCTAGAGAGTTTAAGGAGTTCGGACAGCAATTTTGAACTCAGGTCTGTCAACAGTAAAGTGCACCGTTTTTCTGGGTTCCCAAGAAATCTTAGGAGCCTTCATCGAGGGTCAGTTAACTAAGCGGGGGTTCATGTGTGGCGTGGATTCCATGAAGCCTTTGAGAAGGATGAGGTAGAGCTATAAGGTGCTTGTGTGTAGAGATGTCCGTGCCATATTAAGTGAACTTCAATACTATTTTGGTTTTAAAAATACAATAACCCACTAAACCATGCTTTTCAAACTATAGGATGCAGGCCATTAAGGGGATTGCGAAATTAGCATCACAAATACGTTGAACTGTATTAAATCGCCCCACGTTTGTGTTCACTACAAAGACATTAATTTCATATGGTAGTAGCACTGGTAAAAATTAAATAGAATGAATAGAACAGAAAGCATTCCTG